TTTCTCCCCCCCCCCACACACACACCCCAGTGAAACACAGTCACACTGCAATCCCTTTTCCTCCACCTCTCCATCCTGTCAGGATTCTGGGCTCGTGCACACCCATCACCCAGTGTGTTTCAATTTTTTTTTAAAGAGAGATTTGTGCTTGTGTTTGCCAGAGACACAGAGAGAGAAACATCAACCCCAAGGGGAGATGGCCACGCCTCAATCCCTTCTCCTCCATTCTCTCCTGGGATTTTGAGCAGGCACGCACACATACCCATTGTGAGTTTCAAGCTGCTGGGTCCGGGATTCAAACCATGGTTAGCTACGTGAGAGTCCAGTGGCTTAAATACACCACCTGCTGGCCCCACAAAGTTTCTTTCTTTTTTTTTTTAAGATTTATTTATTTTTATTCATTCATTCATTTTAATTTGACCAGAGAGAGACAGAGAGAGAAGGAGGGAAAGTGAAAAAGCAAGCCCCCAGGTCTGGGACTTGAAAAACGGTGGTTGGCCATGTGGGAGTGTCCAGTACCTTAACCACCATGCCACCTGCTGGCTCCCCAGTGTGTTTCTTAAGTCCCCAGGGCCAGAACTACAATTCCTTCTCCAGAACTATTACAAAGAGACTTCTAAAAAATTATGCAAAGTGAAAGAAGCAGATCACAAAGACCACATCTTCCATGACCCCCATTTATAGGAATTACTTATACTAGGCAGACCTAGGAGGACAGGAGTATGAGTGGCTTAGGCATGAGGAACTTAGGGGACAACAGGGAGTGACTGGTAACGGATACAGGCATGCTTTGGAGAATGATGAAAATGTGCCAACACTGAGTGTGGTAATGGCTGTACAACCCTATGAGCATACTAAAAACCACTGAACTATACATTTCTGATGGGCGGACTATACTGCATAGGAATTATATTTCAAAAGGTTGTTTTAAAAATTCTACAGCAGAGGTGGATTTACAAAACTAACCAGACACTCACCTCCCGCTCCAGTTCATCCTCCTCTTCCAATAGATTGTATACTTGCTCTAAAAGCTGAACCCCCAGGCCCTGGATTACATCAGCTCGCAAGACCTCGACTAGTCTCCTGATCTTTTCAGAACCTGGCACAATAGCTAAAAAGCAATAATAAAGACAGGAAAAATAAACACTTCACCACTGTAGCAAGAACATAATTTTTTTTTAATCTTAGTATTCTTGGGACCAGCAGATGGCGTAATGGTTATGTTGCTGGACTCCCACGTAGTTGACTGTAGTTCAAGTCCCAGACCCGGCAGCTTGAAACTCACACCAGGTATGTGTGCACGCATGCCCAAAATCTTAAGAATGGAGAAGGGATTGCAGCATGGCCATCCCCCCTTTCTCACTTTCTGTCTCTTGGGGAAGCACAAGCGCCCTATAGCAAAAATTTCACTAAAAAATTTTTTATGAAACTTTTCAGGAATATACTGTCTGTTACACAAAACAAGATGTACCGTATATACATACATACATACATATGTGTATATGTATGTGTGTGTATATATATATATATATATATAGCTTATATATATCAAAATTAAATTAAAAACAAAATTTATATTCATTAGCCCCTTGGTTTGAAATATTTCTCCAATATCCAAATGAATTCCAGTTTGCTTAAAATAACTGATCACCTGAAGATAGCTCTTTGAAATGGAGTTCCTCTACCTCTTCTGCTACCTTCCCATGAAGTATCAACGTATCCCGATACTTCCGATGAAGTTTGAATTCTGATACTGGATTTGGTACTGGGAGATCTTCACAGCTCTCTTTAGAATCCAGTTTCAGGGTCTGAGTCATCATTTGTACCAAGTCATTCATTTCATTTGTATGACCTTTTCTGGAAAAAAATTAAAACAAAAACAAAATATAAAACAACAACAACAAAATTCTCCATGTTATTTCATTGGCTTAATGAGAATTTTTCATTAAAAATTAGATTTGGGGGCCAGCTCTGTAACATGCTACTTAAACGGTGCTGGATTCATATGGAAGATTGTGGATTTGGTTCCCTGGTCAACTACACACTGAGTATGGGTGCCCATGACCCTGGCTGGCTGGAAAGGCTGCAGGTGGTGGGGGAGACACAGTGTCAGACTGTACTGCGGGTGCTCTCTCTGTTGGTAGGGCACCACTGCATGAAGCTGGAGCTACATGGAAGGTCTGCCTCTCATCTTGGCTGGCTGGGAGGCTGAGGCAGGAGGATAATGGTGCGGCAAGATCTTGTTAAGGGTACCTCTTTCTCTCAGAAAAAAATTTTGAAAATATGTAAGATGAAAAACAATTTTTGGGCAATTCTACTTCCAAATGCCAAAGTAAGCATCTTTGCCAAAGTAAGACTGATCTTTCTATAACTAAAAACTCTCAAAAATACATGGGACTGGGGGAACCAACAGTTAGTGTAATGGCTATGTCGCTGGATTCCCACATAGTCGACCACGGTTCGCGTCCCGGACCCGGTGGCTTAGAACTCACGCCGGGTGCGTGTGTGTGCATGCCCAAGATCCCGAGAGGAGAATGGAGGAGAAGGGATTGTGGTGTGACCATCCCCCCTGGGGGGTGATTTCTCGTTTTCTGTTTCTATGTCTCTCTCTGTCTGTCTGGCGAGCGCACGCGCCCTATAGCAAAAACCTCTCAAAATAAATAAATAAATAAATAAATAAATAAATAAATAAATAAATACATGGGGCTGGCAGGTGGAGTGGTGGTTATGGTGCTAGACTCCCACATGGCTGACCATGGTTCAAGTACCGGACCTGGCAGGACTTTCCTGCTTTCCCTTTCGCTCGCTCTCTGGTCAAAATTTTAAAAAATAAAATTTTAAAAATTATTTCAAAAATATGGGAAGGCAATGGGGAATGATCAAAATCTGCAGCAATTTTTGGTGAGAGTTAACATCTGTTAGCCTACAAGCAGGCCACACGCAGCTTAATGTGAAAGAGAAAGTTCCACAGTCTTTCTGGCCTATAGAACCAAAGGACAGAGTTTAGGACAACCTGTGTCTCTAGAGGGAGGAATCTTGGAAAGAAGAGGGCCTGAAAGCAACGGTCCTAGACTATGTGAACGAATTCTGCCTAGCCTCTTCCAAGTAATGTAACCAGGCCCAAATAAAGAGCTCAAGAATATTTTATTTAAAGATATATGAAAATGATCCCCTCAATGAGACAAAAGCTGGAATATACCACACATTAGTTAAGAGAAACAAACTCAAAAGTGACATGAGTTATAGAATTACTTGATGAGGACATTAAAGCAGTTATAACTATTAGGTTGTCAGGAAAATCATGATGTATTTTTCTATGTTTCTATGCAAAAATGTATCATGACTTTCCAGATGATCCAATATATTTCATATGGCTAAGGTAGAAGAAAACATGAACATGTAAAGTCATAAAAGATATAAAAAAGACCCAATTAAAGTTCTAGGGATGAAAAATACAATTTCAGGGGCTAGGATTAGGCACTGTAGAAGAAAACGTTAGTAAACTCAAAGAGACAGCAAAAGAATCTATGAAAAATTAAACCAAGAAGGCGGAAAGAATGGATAGAGCACCAGTGAGTCACAGGGCAGCTTTAAACAGCCTAATACATATGAAATGGGATCCTCAAGACGGCAAAAGGAGGGCCCTCAAAAAATGTGAGGAAATAATGGCCAAGATTTTCCCAAAGCTAACGCAAACTAGAAACCCATAGATCTAAGACATTCTGTAAGAACTGAGTGAAAACCAGATGCGCTCACAGGGAAGAGATTTTGAGCTCTCAGATATATCACAACCCTTCACATGTCTCCATGGCAGTACTACAGGCCTGAATACTGGCAGGAAGGTACATTTAGGGTTACTTCACACACACGGTTTCTGAGAGAAAGAAAAACAAGAACTTACCCTTCCCTGGAATCTCCATCGGACTTATCAGTCGAACTTGTAGAAGAACTTAATTCATCCTCCGAAAAACAATGAATCAGTTTCTTTACCTATTAGTTTTTAGGAGAAAATTAAATTCCACATGACAACATGGCATCCTCCGAAAAACAATGAATCAGTTTCTTTTCCTATTAGTTTTTAGAGAAAATTAAATTCCACAGGACAACATAACCATAATGAACACATAAAACAGTCTTAGGTGCAACGACTAGGAACAATATGGTCCTAGGTGCAGTTTCACAGGAGAAACTAAATGGACATGAAATTGAGGTGACTTTATCCAATGATGTCCCAGTTCACCTGTGAAGCCCACAGGTCAAGCCTGAGCAACATCAAGGTGAAGTTTCACAAGGCCCTCGAGTCTCAGCTGTGAAGAAATTTCCTTTCCAATGGAGAAAGAATGGCAAGTTCTGGTGTTCCAATTCCCAAGCAGAGGGCTTGTCCCATAAGCAATTCTGGTATTTTATAAGGCTAGACCACGGCATGATGGTTAAGGTGGCTGGATCCCACATGGTTCAAGCTATTGGGTGCAAGTGGCTGCATGCCCAAAATCCCAAATGAGGGTGAGGAGGGGGAGAAGGGAGTGTGGCATGACCATTCCCATGGCAGTGCAGGGGGTGTTGGGGTGCCATCTCCCTCGTCCCTCCTTTCTCTCTCTCTCCTTCCTTCTTCTCTCTCTCCCTCTCTCTCCCTTTCTTCCTCTCTCCCTCCCTTCCTCCCCAATGAGAACATGCACCTTCTGACTAAAGTTAAAAAAAAAAAGAAAGAAATACTGGGATTATAAGCCAGATAAAATATTACTTAAATCAAGGCAGCTGTGGTTTGCTCATATGTGAGACTGTTAAGGTGCTCTGAAGAACTACCTGATATAATAATCTAGAAAAAATAATGAAAAGCTATTTGATGATGATGATGTGGATAGTAATGTCTTTTTCTTGACCAATATGTATGGTATTCCTTCTGGAAAAATAAACGTAATACAGTGTAAGGATATATGTGATTCAATGTAATATAAACAAGATTATGATAAGAATAAATAAAATTTTAAAAAAAGAACTACCTGATATAACCACACATAGCCTTCCTAACTTTGCGAAGTGGAGAGGCCGGTCCCAATTAGTGAAAAAACTAAGTAATACCATTAAAGAAACTATACCTTCATTATTTTCAAAGGGCAAGAAAAATCAATCTCACAGTATTATACAGACCTATAAACATGGGTTGGAAACCTTGAAACTCTCTATTTAGCCCCCAGTGATAACCCGGTATCAATCGCAGGTGAGAAGCTAAGTTACACTCACACAAACAGGAAACTGAGGAATGATTTGTGAGACCGAAATCTGGCCACACGGGTATACTTGTAACACGGCAAGGTAATCCAAGTGTTGCCTAGCAGGAGGCCCTGAGAGGTCTTGTTAATTTTAAAGACTGCCTGAGAAAAAAGTTTAACTAGGCTGCCAATTGTTCACAAGACTGCCTGAAAAATCCATTCTTTTAATGGGTCAAACATAATCCTCTTAATCATTTATTTATTTTGTTATAGGGCATGTGTACTCACTGGAGTGGGGGTGGAGCAGAGTGAGAAATCACCCCCAGCTGGGATGGCCACCCCACAATCCTTCCTCCATTCTCCTCTTGGGATTTTGGGTATGCACACACAGGTGCCCAGTGTGTTTTTCATCACCAGGTCCATGACTCAAACTGCGCAGTTGGCCATGTGGGAATTCAGTTCCACCATGCCACCACACCACCTAGTGGGCCCATTATTTTGTTAATGAGCGAGAGAGAGCAGGTGCATGAACATGCAAGAGGGAACAAGCGGGAACGCTGTCTCGATCCTTCCTGCCCCAACCCCCCGGTTGGCTGGGACCATAGCTGCAAACCACTAAGGCAGCCTAGATAGGTTAGGCTGAGAACCACACGTGGCCCTCTCATGAGGCCTCAGCCACAGCACAGTGGTGCCCTTCCACTTGCACCACCACAGCTGGGCCATTGCCTTTTACTCATCATTTACCAGTGAGTTCCTTTCTTTATCAAGAACGAAAAGGTGTAACTTAAGCTAGCCCTGACCCACAAATACATGGAGTTGACATTTTTGAGGTTGCGTCTGTCAGGCTTGCCAGGTATAGACGTGTCCGCCTTTTCCCTCAGGAGTGTGTGATGCACCTGAGCAACGCTGCAGTCAGAAGATAACCGTCGGGAAGGGATGAGCTGGTCGTCTTCCTTTGGTCTCCCTGATCCCACTGCACTCAGAGACCTCCTCACTGAAGGGCCTGAAAAAGTAAATACACTGAGCAGTCATTCGTGGAGGGGTAGCCTCAGTGGAAAAGGACCCTGTACTGAGTATGAAAGATACTCCAGAAAGGGCCAGTCCAGGAGTGACTCAGAGAGCATACTCATCATCACCCTGGTATCTGACACCTCAGTTCAAATCTTAGCTCTGGGTCTATCAGCTCTGTGACCTTGAGCTTCAGTTCCCTCAGCTGTGAAATAGGGATAATGCTGCCTATCTTTGGCAGTTACTGTAAATATGAAATGAGATAATGCCTTTAAGATGCTCAGGGCTGACAGGTGGTGTGAGCAAGTTGAGGCGCTGGACGCCCACATGGCCAACCCATGGTTTGAGTCCTGGACCTGGCAGCTTTCTCTATATTGGCTTACTCTCACTCTCTCTGTCTCTCTGGTGAGTGCATGTGTCCTACAGCAAATTAAAAAATAACAAATAAAATTAATTATTTTTTTAAATGTTAATCATACTGCTTGAGACATGGTGTGCATTCAATAAATGGAACCTGCCAGTATTGCCTTTGGATAGTAGAGAGGGGAATGACCACAGCTTCAGCCAGGGCTGCACCATTCCCTAGGCTTCTCTCTCTCTTCCTAAGATGAGAGTACTTCTCTGGTCAGCAAGGCCTAGACGTGGAAACAAGTTAAAACAGTTCATTTCTGGTCTGAAATCTCTCAGGGGTTACTGCCACTCAAAGCTCTGTTTTTAATATTGTCTTCCTCTGATAATTAGAGAAGTCTTCAACAACTCCATGGAAAATGTGTGTTATAAAAAAACTATGCATGGATTTCACAATATTTTGCACCAAAATAAATTTGCAATTTAATTCCTTTTTTCCATGAACTTTTAGAAGTCCCCTTGTATATATTCCAGATTGAAAAGCCTATGATAGGGACCAGCGGTTAGCGTAATGGCTATGTCGCTGGACTCCCACGTAGTCGACCGTGGTTCGAGTCCCGGACGCGGTGGCTTAAACTCACGACGGGAGCATGTGCGTGCGTGCCCAAGATCCCAAGAGGAGAATGGAGGAGAAGGGATTGCGGCATGGCCATACCCCCTGGGGGGTGATTTCCTGCTTTCTGTCTCTCTGTCTCTCTCTGTCTGTCTGGTGAGTGCATGTGCCCTATAGCAAAAATCTCTCCAAAAAATAAAAAAATAAAAGCCTATGATAGAGGGGCCAGCAGTTAGCGTAATGGCTATGTCACTGGACTCCCATGTAGTCGACAGCAGTTTGAGTCCTGGACTCGGTGGCTTAAACTCACGAACTCACACTGGGCACATATGCGTGAGTGCCCAAGATCCTGAGAGAAGAATAGAGGAGAAGGGATTACGGTGTGGCCATCACCCCAGGGGGTGATTTCTCACTTTCTGTCTCTCTGTCTCTGTCTTTCTGGCAAGCACATGTGTCCTATAGCAAAAACCTCTCTAAAAACAACCACAACAATAACAACAAAGGGCCAACAGGTGGCATAGTGGCTAAAGGTGCTGGATTCCCACATAGCCAACTGTGGTTCAAGTTCCAGACTTGGTGGCTTGCTTTCTCACTTTCCCTCTCTTTCTCTGTTTCTCTCTGATCAAACTAGAAAATAATAATAATAAAGTTAAATAAAATAATTCTTTAAAAAAAAAAGTAAACTTAAAAAACAAAAAAAACTCACACCAGGCACATGTGCATGCATGCCTGCCCAAGATCTCAAGAATGGAGAAGGGATTGTGGTGTGGCCATCCCCACGCCCAGGGGGTGATTTCTCACTTTCTGTCTCTCTCTCTCTGATGAGTATACACAAAAATCTCTCTTTAAAAAAAAGAAAAAAAAAAGAAAAAAGCTTATGATGATTTTTTAAAAGGCTTGGCTAAGAAATTTCAAAAATGTTTAGAAATTGATTTCTCAAATGGCTTATACTCCTTCTTGAAAGTTTTAACAGCTCACAATCAAAACCCATGCTCGTGTGCATGAACCAAACCACCAACCACCAATTAGCTGAAGAAGTCCATGTTACCTGAGGGGAATATCTCTTCCTGCGACTGCTTCAGTCGTCTCCTCTCTCTGGCTGATAATGGTCGATCCTTTTAAAGAAAGTTAAAGAGTCATTTCCACTCCTTCGCTATTAGTGTATTACCTACACAGCATGACGTATCAACCAGCACTAAAAAAGGCCTCGCACTGGCCTTAAAAGTGCGTCCACTGGAAACCAATCCACTTCACGATTACAGCTACGAGCGAGCAATGATCACAGCCCTCATTTCTGGGAGGTGCTCATTTTAGAAGGATAAAGAGGGACTTCTGCATTTTCTATATTCACATCTACTCGGTCTCTTTAATGAACTGGAAGTGATCATCTTTGGGTCCGCAGAATCTATTCATTTCAATCAAATTGCCTGCTGGAATCCCAAATCTGCCCTTTCCAGTGTTTGGCAAAAGGCAGGGCTAAGATGTTTTGATGGAAAAGGTCACAATACACGCGAGATAGTAACTGAGTAAGAAGGTTTGAAAAGCCCAGCACAGACTTCCACACACCTCTGGTGATGACACCTCACTGCTCGCACACCCAGTGACCACCCTGCTTTGGCTGTCAGCACCTCTTTGTGTGGCTGTGATGTCCGCTTTTCCAGCAGTGAGATGAGGAGGCAAAAGTTGAGGAGGCGCCTCTTGGACCTTAAATTATTAAAAAAGAGAGAAAAATTATCAGTTTCATGTATAGCCACCTCCTAAGTTCTCCATCAGTAGGTTCCCTGTGGATATGTCAGTGATTTGATCTTTTTTTTCTTTTTTTTTTTTTTGAGAGTTTTTTGCTATAGGGCATGTGCTCTTGCTAGACAGACAGAGAGATAGAAAGTGAGAAATCACCCCCCAGGGGGGATGGCCACGCCGCAATTCCTTCTCCTCCATTCTCCTCCCGGGATCTTGGGCACGCATGCACACGCGCCCAGTGTGAGTTTAAGCCACTGGGCCCGGGACTTGAACCACGGTCGACTACGTGGGAGTCCAGTGACATAGCCATTACGCTAACTGCTGGTCCTGGTGATTTGATCTTAAAACTGCAAAACACGGGGCCAGAAGGTAAGGTAATGGTTAAGGCGCTGAACTCCCACATGGCCAGCCACAGTTTGAGTCCAGGACCTGGTGACTTGAAAATCATACCAGATGCATGCATATGTATGCCGCCCAAGATCTCAGGAAGAGAATGGTGGAAAAGGAACTGCAGTGTGGCCCTCCCCTCTATTAATTGTTCCAAATGGAAACTGAGCTTCTCAAAGTCTATCTCCCAAATAGCAGCACAATGACTTATTGCAAAGTGATCTCTCCCAACCTGTTTCTTTTCCACACTGTGCTCAGTCTGGTCTCTTTTCTTCTGCCGTCGCTGTCGAGACAGGGAAGGTTCAGGTCCAGAGCTGTGTGGCTGTAAATCTGAGTGAATTCTGCCCTGTTTTTCTGTAACACATTCGTCAGCAACTCGATCCTTAAAAATAATAAAATGAAACAAACAAAAAAACCATAAAATAAGAGGTTGACAGGTGGCATGGAGGTTGGGGTACTGGACTCCCACATGGCTGACCACAGTTCAACTCCCGGACCTAGCAGCTTGCTTTCTCATTTTCCCTGTCTCTCTGTCTCTCTGACAAGCACAGGTGCCCTATAGCAAGTTAAATAATAATAATAAAATTAAATAAATGATTCTTTTTAAAAAAGATAAATCTTATATACATATTAATATGACAGAAACAAATAATTTAAGGAGCTTTTCCACAAAATCCAACTGGTCTTGAAAAAAGTTCATCCACTTTTAGAAAGAAGAGAAACAATAACAAAAAGAGAAAATACTGGATATATTCTATCAACTGAAAATACTGCTCTAAATACCTGGTGTAATAAACAGATCTGACCAGAAACAAGGCAAGGATATCTACTCTCACCATTTTTTGTTTGTTTTTAGTTTTGCTATAGGGTACATGCACTCGCTGTAGAGAGAGAGAGAGACAGACACACACAGAAGTCACCCTCCTCCTCCAAGGGAGATGGTCATACTACAATCTTTTCTCCTCTGTTCTGCTCTTGGGATTTGGAGCATGCGAGCATATGCACCTTGTCTGTTTTTCAAGTTATCAGGTCTGGGACTCAAACTGAGCAGTTAGTCATGTGAGATCCCATTGCCTAAACCACCTAGCTGGCCCAGCAACTTCTATTCAAAATTGTACTAGAGGTTCTATCCAGGACAATCAGGCAAGAAAAAGAATAAAATCATCCAGATTAGAAAGCAAGAAGTAAGATTATCTCTATTCACAGAAGAATGATCTTACAGGCAGAAAATCCTGAGGAGTTCACTGAAGAAAAAATATTATTTTCGTTGGTCATTTGTTGAAATGGCCAGCTCCATTTCAAGAGAGGTACTGGGACAAATGGATTCCCATATGCAAAAGAATGACGGTGAGTCCCTTCCTCACACCATACACACAAATTAATTCAAACTGGATCACAGACCTAAATGTAAAAGCTAAAGCTATAAAGTTAGAAGAAAATATGGGAGTACATTTTCATGAAACCAAAAACACAAGTGATGAAATAAGTAAATAAACAAAATTCCATTTCATCAAAATTAAAAATTTCTGGGACCGGCAGTTAACATGGAGGTTAAGGTGCTGGATCTCATATGGCCTACTGCACAGTTTGAGTCCCAGACCTGACAGTTTAAAGACCACAATGGGCACATGTGCTTGTGTGCCCAAAATCCTAGAAGGAAACAGGAGAAGGGACTGTGGCATAGTCATCCTCTTGGGGATAATTTTTCACTTTTCTTTCCCTCTCTCTTTGGCAAGTGTACACACTCTACAGCAAAAACTGAAAAAAAAAAAAATTTAATTTAAAAATTAAAAATTGCTGTACTTCAAAGAATCAAGAAAGTAAGGGGCCAAACTATGGCACAGAGGCAAAATGTGATGCTCTGTCAGGCTGACCCACATGGGAAGGTTTGGGTTCATGTCCAGACACTGCCCTGAGTATGTTGGCCATGTGCATGCCCATGATCTAGGACTGGCTGAAGCTAGGGGTGGATTGCAGCATTAAGACCCTGTTGGGGGTGCTGTTCCTCTGTCTATCTCTGTCTCTCTTTCTCTGTCTCCTTGCTCTAATAAATTGTAAGATAACCCACAGACTGGAAGAAAAGTATTATCAAATTTCAAATCCCGTATCTGATAAGGGACTGGATCTAGAATACAGGTCTTTTCCAATTCAACTGAAAAAAGATAAAAGAACAATAAAAAAACTTGGCAAATGACCCGAGTAGATTATTTCTCCATAGGAGACACACAAACAGCAATATGCATATAAAACGATGCTTAACATCATTAGTCATTAGGGGATGCAGATCAAAACCAGGGTAGGACACCACTGCACCCTCACGAAGATGACTACGATCAAAACAATGGACAATAACAAGTGTTGGTAAGTATGTGGAGCAAATGGAACCTCCATATATTGCTGATGGAAAGGGACGTGATATAGCTGCTTCGGAAAGAGTTTGTGGTCCCCCAGAAAGTTTAGTTACCGTATGACCCAAAAATTCCACTCCTAGGCTTATGCTCAATAGAACTGTAAACATACATCTGCACAAAAACTCATACATGAATGTTCACAGTAACATTATCCACAGTAGTCAAAGAGCAGAAACAACCCAGGGGCCAGATGGTAGCACAACACGCATGGATACATGCATGTCCCTGTCATCCAGGCTGGGGATGGAAAACAGAAGATCCTGCCAGGGGTTCCAATCGCTCTCTCTCTCATGAAAGAAAGAAATAAACTTAAATCATGCTGGGTACATGTGTATCCTCAAATCTGATAGGACATAGAAATAGAAGAGAAGGGATTGCGGCCTGACCACACTCCACTGGGATACATACTCAAACAGTACTATTTATTCAGCAATAAAAAAGCTTTTAATAGTGGTTCATGCCACACCATGGATAAACCTTGAAAACATTATACTAAGAAAGAAGCCAGACACAACAAGCCATAATGATACAATTCTACTTATAGGAAATGCTCAGAACAGGTGAATCTAATGTTGCCAGGGAACTAAGGTTGTCAGAGGTGTAAGGCAGGAGAAAATAGAGTAGCTGTTACTGGGTGTGAGGCTTCTTTTTGGGGTGATGAAAATATTCTTCTATATTTACTTGGCACATAAAATAACTGATTTCCCTAAAATGACTAGTGTACAACCCACCCCTTTTTTTTTTTTTTTTGAGAGATTTTCACTGTAGGGCGCGTGCGCTCGCCAGACAGACAGAGACATAGAGACAGAAAGCGAGAAATCACCCCCCAGAGGGGTGGTCACGCCGCAATCCCTTCTCCTCCATTCTCCTCTCGGGATCTTGGGCACGCACGCACACACGCCCGGCGTGAGTTTTAAGCCACCGGGTCCGGGACACGAACCGCGGTCGACTACATGGGAGCCCAGCGACATAGCCATTACGCTAACTGCTGGTTCCCTACAACCCACCCCTTTGTAACCACATTTCCCAGTCCTCTCTCAGGCAGCAATATCTGAGTATCACTCACTTGGTCCTTTGGCTTTTCGTCTTTGTTTAGTAGCCGTGGAGCCTTCACTGGTTCCTTCGTTTCCCCAGCATCAGAAGACCATGTGAGAATCAGGTGTTCAGGAGGAGGACTAGACTTAGTATTTTCCTGCAACCTCTCCTCCTTCACTTGAAAAATATTGCATTTACCTTCTATCTCATTTGAGGCATTTAAGTGTCTTGGTTGACTCTCCTGAACTGAGCAGTCGCTCTTTGAGTCCTTCTTTTCTGCAGGTAAAATGTCAATATTTACCCTACTGATCGTGGCCAGTGATTCCGCAGTATTGCTCATGCCTGATTTGTAGGTTTGGTCTTTCAGATTGGCGGGTGACTTCAAGGAACTAATGACCATGGGTTTTCCCTGGGGCAAACACTTGTCTTCACCCTGAATAAAAACATGTTTCAAGTTATGATAGCACTCTTCACACCATACATAAACTTAGCTCAAAATGGAGTAAGTAGTTCTTCAAAAGTTAAAAACAGAATTATTGTATGACCCAGCAAATCCACTGTTATGTACTCCAAAGAACTGAAAGTGCAGACTCAAAAGATAATTATATATCAGTGATTACAACAGCATTATTCAAAAGAGCCAAAGGTGGAAAATACTCAAATATCTGTCAACAGATAGGTGGAAAACACTCAAATATCTGTCAACAGATGAATGGATAAACATACAATGAAGGTACCAGAAGGTGGTGTGGTGGTTAAGGCGCTGGACACTCCCACATGGCCGACCATGGTTCAAGTCCTGAACGTGTGGCTTGCTTTCCCCCTTTCTCTTTCTCTCTCTGAGTGTCTCTCTATGATCAAATTAAAATAAACAAATGAATAAATTTAAAAAAAAATTTAGAGGTTTTTTGTTATAGGGTGCGTGCGCTCGCCAGACAGACAGAGAGAGATAGAGAGACAGAAAGTGAGAAATCACCCCCCGGGGGGATGGCCATGCTGCAATCCCTTCTCCTCCATTCTCCTCTCAGGATCTTGGGCACGCACGCACACGCGCCCGGCATGAGTTTAAGCCACCGGGTCCAGGACTTGAGGATGTTTTCTCCTCTCCTTCCTCTCCTTCCGGTGAGTACACACATCCTCTGGCAAAATTTAAAAAAAAATAAAAACTTAATAATTCCACAAAAATAACAAACAAAGAAAAACCCTGCTAGAACCATTAAGTGAATTTAGCAAAGTTGGAGAAGACAAAGCCAACACATAAGAATCAATTGCATTTCTATACATTAACAATAAACAATTTGAAAAATAAATTACAAAAAACAATCCTACATTTTTTTATTTTTTAGAGAAATTTTTGCTATAGGGAGCATACACTCTCTAGAGAGACAGAAAGCAAGAAATCACCTCCCATCCCAGGGGGGATGGCTACACTACAATCCCTTCTCCTCCATTTTCTTGGGATCTTAGGCACGCATACACATGCACCTAGCCTGAGTTGTGTTTTTGTTTGTTTGTTTTTTAAGAGAGGTTTTTACTATTGGGTGACTGGACTCACCAGAGAGACAGAAAGCAAGAAATTACCCCCCGGGGGCTGGCTACACCACAATCTCCACCATCCTCCTCTCAGGATTTTGCACGCACACATACATATGTGCCCAGCATGTTTTTCAAGCCTCTGGGAACCTTGAAAACAGACGAAATGAAAGAAGCCAGACAGAAAAAAATCACATAAGGGACCAGCAGTTGGTGTCATAGTTACATCACTGGACTCCCACATGGTTGATTACGGTTCGAGTCCTAGACCCGGTGGCTTAATACACACCAGGCACATGTGTGTACATGCCCAGGATCCTGAGAGGAGAATAGAGGAGAAGGGACTATGGCATGGCCATCTCCCCAAGGGGTAATTTCTCACTTTCTGTCTCACTGGCAAGTGTATGCTCCCTATAGCAAAAATCGCAAAGAAAAAAAGAAAAAGTCATATATTCTGTGATTCCATTTATATGAAATATCCAGGATAGGTACAAAACACACGGGTGGCTTTCAGGAGCTGGGTGAAGAAGGAAATGGGGAACGACTGCTTCATGGGTGAGGCGTTCCCTGTAGAGTGGTAAGCATGTTTTGACCTGGATAGAGGTGTGGGTGCAGAACATTGTGCATGTACTAATGCACTTCATTGAAAATGACTGGTTTTATGTTATAAAATTTATCTAAAATATTTTTTAAATAAGCATTTGAGCATTTTAATTTTATTTTACTTATTCGATCATTTATTTTAGTGTGACCAGAGAAAGACATAGAGAGAGGGAAAGTGAGAAAGCAAGCCACCAGCTCTCGGACTTGAACTGTGGTTGCCATGTGGGAGTGTCCAGGGCCTTAACCACCACGCCTACCTGCTAGTCCCATATCTAAAATATTCTTTCTTTTTTAAATAAAAGAATCATCTTATTTAAAATTTATTTATTTATTCATTTGTTTATTTCAATTTGACCATAGAGGGACAGAGAGAGAGAGGAGAGAGAAAATGAGAAAGCAAGCTGCTAGATCCGGGACTCAAACCACAGTTAGCCATGTGGGAATCCAGCGCCTTTAACCACCATGCCACCTGCTGGCCCGTAAAATAGTCTTAAAATAAAAGTTATCACAGCAAGGCTGTCCTGCCTTTTTAGGGAGCCCTTTTATCTCTCCTTCTGGGTAATAGTTCCCCACTTCCTCTCGAAGGAAGGAATCAAGGTATTCACCCATGCCCCCTCATGTGGTTGTCCACTATGGAGTAATTTGTTCTGTAGACTTTCCTAAAAAAAAACTTGCTTTCACTCTCCATTAAAAAAAATAAAAAATAGGGACCAGCAGTTAGCGTAATGGCTATGTCGCTGGACTCCCACGTAGTTGACTGTGGTTCAAGTCCCGGACCTGGTGGCTTAAACTCAAGCCAGGCACATGTGCATGCATGCCCAAGATCCCGAGAGGAGAAAGGAGGAGAAGGGATTGCAGTGTGGCCATCCCCCCGGGGGGGGATATCTCACTTTCTGTCTCTCTGTCTCTCTCTGTCTGTCTGGCGAGCACACGCACCCTATAGAAAAAACCTCTCCATAAAAAAAATAAAAAATAAAAGTTATTACAGCAATGACTTCATGAAGAGTTTGACAGTCCACCTTTGATAAAGTGGCCTAAATTAATCACCTTCACTAGTATTCTTCCTTTATGATACAGAATGAATTGCACAACAGAATCTTCAGTAAACCATAATTATTTCACTTAAAATAATTTGATTAGATAACTCTTTTTTTTGGAGAGGTTTTTGCTATAGGGTGTGTACACTCGCCAGAAAGACAGAGAGAGAGAGAGAGAGACAGAAAGCAAGAAATCACCCTCTAGGGGGGATCTTGGGCACACACGCACACACACCTGGCTTGAGTTTAAGCCACCGGGTCCAGGATTCAAACCATGGATGAATACATGGGAGTCCAGTGACATAGCCATTACACCAACTTCTGGTCCCGATAACCTAATTTTTAAATCTGGTTTCTGAAATACGTTCCCTTTTAAAAAAACATACCATTATGCACACCTTGGAGTCCTCAGAAGGATGTGGTTGGAGGTGGGTTACTTCATGATTTGATTCTGATTTTGCAGAAACCACTGTAGCAACAGGCCTGGACTTGGAGTCACCATTTTTAATATTGTTTTTGGAGGTTTTTCTTTATGAAGAAGACAAGAAGAAAGTTATCAATACAGTGAAGACTAAGGGTTTTTATATATAGAGGTTGAAATATTACACTCCCTTATAGAACTGTACCATTTACAGAGAACAGTCTTCTAAACATCAAGGGGCACTCCACACAACACCTAACCAGGAAATCTTCAGAACAATGAAGGTCATACAAAACAAAGGAAGTGAGACATTATCATGGAGCCAAGGAGACTTTGAGATTTGAGGACTAAATGCAATGTGGTATCAGGGATTGGTACCTGGATCTTGAAACAGAAAAAGGACACTAAAGAAAAACTGGAAAAGGCAACAGAAGCCTGGAGTTTAGCCAATAGTAATGAACTAATGTTTTTTTTTTTTGGAGAGGTTTTTTCTATAAGACGTGGGTGCTTGCTAAGGCATGATTTGATTCTGATTTTGCAGAAACCACTGTAGCAACAGGCCTGGACTTGGAGTCACCATTTTTAATATTGTTTTTGGAGGTTTTTCTTTATGAAGAAGACAAGAAGAAAGTTATCAATACAGTGAAGACTAAGGGTTTTTATATATAGAGGTTGAAATATTACACTCCCTTATAGAACTGTACCATTTACAGAGAACAGTCTTCTAAACATCAAGGGGCACTCCACACAACACCTAACCAGGAAATCTTCAGAACAATGAAGGTCATACAAAACAAAGGAAGTGAGACATTATCATGGAGTCAAGGAGAATTTGAGATTTGAGGACTAAATGCAATGTGGTATCAGGGATTGGTACCTGGATCTTGAAACAGAAAAAGGACACTAAAGAAAAACTGGAAAAGGCAACAGAAGCCTGGAGTTTAGCCAATAGTAATGAACTAATGTTTTTTTTTTTTGGAGAGGTTTTTGCTATAAGACGTGTGTGCTTGCTAGAGAGACAGAGAGACAGAGGCAGAGAGACAGAAAGCGAGAAATCACCCCCCCAGGGAGGATGGCCACGCCGGAATCCCTTCTCCTCTTGGGGTCTTGGGCATGCATGCAAAAGCAGACGCACCCAGCATGAATTTAAGCCACCAGGTCCGGGACTCGAACCGTGGTCGAGTCCAACGACATAGCCATTACGCCATCTGGTGGTCCTGGTCTATCAGTTTTAAGAAATGTGCCACAACCATATGTTAATGATAGAAGAAAGCAGGTGTGGGGTATTAAGAGCTCTCTGTACTATCTCTGCAACTGTCTATAAATACAAATTTATTCTAAAATAAAATTCTATGGGGGATTACCTCATGTACATTAGTTCCAGAATAATACGACTATAATAATACGATTGTTTCACCAAGTTGAAGAGTAAAAATGATTGGTACAGTCAGTCCTGACTTGCAGAATAAAGGTATACAGGAAGAGTAGCTCCAGCTGTTTTGGTGTCATTTCTGAAAATGGGCTCGACCTCGGCAGGATTCAAGGAAAGCAGGCAGACCAGAGCAAAAGGCCAAAGGTCCACTTGGTGGGTATAGACTATGCCAAAAAAAGATGGTCCCTCTTTACCTCCTGGGGACTCTCTAGTATTGTCTCCTCTTGCTCCGAATTTGACATTGCACAAGGCAAGAGGAGAAGCCAAAGAGATCATGACAGTCTTATACAGTCCTAAGTCTTGGACCCTAGAACACCTGCTTGGTGAAGGTAGGACCTGCAAGCCAAAGGAAGGACTTCTTTTGAATGAATGAAGAGGGAATCTTATAAAACTCAGAAATTACTGCACTATTTTTCACATGTATTTTTTACTATTACATAGAAAATTATGCAGCAGGTTCTGATAATCTCTTATTTTAATATAGTTTATAAACCATATGTCTTTTTTTTTAAGAATTATTTAATTTTATTTATTCATTCATTCATTTTAATTTGACCAGAGAGAGACACAGAAAGAGAGAGAGAAAATAAGAAAGCAAGCCACCAGGTCTGGGACTCGAACTGTGACTGGCCATGTGGAGTGTCCAGCACCTTCACCACCACACCACCTGCTGGTCCCCCATATGCCCTTTTATTTTCATTATTTTGTTTCTTCAGTTGTTTTTAGTTTTTTTGGTAGAAGTTTTTGCGTTAGGGTACATGCGCTCACCAGAGACAGGCAGAGACAGTGAGATGGAAAGTGAGAAATCACCCCAGAGGAGATGGCCACTCCGCAATTCCTTCCCCTCCATTCTCTTCCCAGGATCTTGGGCACGCACACACACATGCCTGGCATGAGTTTCAAGCCACCAGGTCTGGGACTTGAACCACGGTCAGCCACATAGGAGTCCAGCAATGTAAGTGCTATACCATCTGCTGGTCCCAACCATATGCCCTTTTAAAAGAAACACAGTGCCAATAGGTGGTGTGGCGGTTAAGGGCACTGAACTCCCATATGGCTGACATGGGTTCGGGTCCCAGACCTGGCAACTTCCTTTCTCACTTTCTCTCTCTCACTCTGTCTCTCTCTAGTCCAATTTAAATAAATAAATAAAGTTAAATAAAAAATAATTTTTTAAAAAAATAATAAAAATAAAAGAAACACAGTCTATGTCTTGGGAACCCTCTGAGGAATGCTATAGTAGTTCTCTAAATGCTCTTTACATATCTAATTCAAGCAGCTAAGCTTTTTTCCAGCATGTGTTTAAAGAGTGGCAGGATATACCACCCCAAAATATGCTACTTTGGCATAAGAATTGTCCTGGGCACTAGAAAAAGTGAATGCCAGAAGGGCACTCTGATGCTCCCTTTTCTTCCTGAAACAGGAGACAGATCTACCACACGGAAAATGACCTCTCTATGCCAGAAGGACTGTAACATTCTTATGATCAAGAACAGAATGTTGGAGGCCAGCCCTGTGGGCTAGCAGTTCAGAGAGCCAGATGCCACAGGCCAGCCGCAGTTTGAATTCTGGGCGTGGGTGTGGATGCATGCACGTCCCAAATCCTAGCAAAGTAGACTAATGGAGGAGGGACGGAGGAGTGACTACACCCACTGGAGGGCGCTTTCCCTCTTTCTTTCTCTGTCTCATGCATGATCATGTGAGCCCTCCAGCAAGTAAAAAATAAAGGCGTATAGATTTTATAACTTATTTATTAAGATTTAATTTTATTTATTATTATTTTTTAATTTGCTGGACTCCCACATGACTAACTGCATTTGAGTCTCAGACCTGGTGGCTTGCTTTCTCACGCTCTCTCACTTTCTCTCTGTCTCTTTCCGGTTTTGCCACTTTTGGGGGCCTCCGTTTCCTCATGAGGGCACTGTGACACATAAAACTTACATTAAATACATCTGTATGCTTTTCTCCCATTAATTTGTCGTATGTCAGTTTCACTCTCAAGACCAGGCATAAAACCCTAGAGGTTTTTGCTATAGGGCGCATGCACTCACCAGAAAGACAGAGAGAGACAGAAAGTGAAAAATCACCACCCAGGGGAGATGGCCATGCCACAATCCCTTCTCCTTCATTCTCCTCTTGGAATCTTGGATGCGTACGCACACGCCCCAGCATGAATTTAAGCCACCAGATGCGTGACTCGAACCGCAGTCAACATGAGTCCAGAGACATAGCCATTACACCAACTGCTGGTCCTGAATTTTGCCTCCTCTACATACTCGAGCATATAGTTTTACTTCTTGTTTAAAAAAGACTCACCATAAATGCTTGAGTATAAAATTAAAGAAGCTACCCTCTTCTGCTCCATCTAATCAGCCCAGCTATTTGCAAGGGAAGTATCTTACGCCTTTGTGGCTTCCAAAAACAAGGAGATTTGGCGCTTTATATAAGGCTGCCTCAGGATACTCCTCACAGAGGGTCTTTCCTCAGGCCTTTTGTTCAGCATTGTTCTTATCAGGTCTGCCAGTTCTGGGCTGTAATCTCTCGGCATTGGTGGCAGCTACAAGGAAAAAGAATATGGCAACTGTGAGTAGTGGTCTCATGAAACCAAGTAAAAGCTATTCAATAATAAAGGCTTCCCAATATTTATTTAAAGTCAGAACCACACAAGCAGAAAATAACCAGCCTATTAGTCAACAGGAAGAATACTGGTATCTTGGTCATCATAACAACCTATAATAGTCAAAGCACAAGCTTCAACCTAGCTGTCCCGCTGAAGGCACTTTCCTCCAGAAATAAGAGCATGAGTTCCTAAGATTTATGTACCAGGAGTCAAGGCAATAGTGTTCGTGCAGTGGTAAGTACTGGAAATAACTCACAATGTCCATCTACAGGGGGCTTGTGGGATAAATTATGGCACATTCTTCTTAGAGAATACCAGCAGACACATGGGAAATAAGACTTATGGGCTGGTAGATGGCATGGAGGTTAAGGTGGCTGGGTCCTATGTGACTGATTGAGTGGTTCAAGTCTTGGACCTGGCGGCTTGAAAATCACGGTGGGCACATGTGCCTGCGTGCTCAAAATTCTCAGAGGAGAATGGAGAAGAAGGAACTGGGGCACAGACATTTCTTCCCCTCCTTTCTTCCCTCTCTCTTTCTCTCTCTGGTAAGTGTATGTGTCCTACAGCAAACTAAAAACGAGTGAATGAATGAAATGAATGACTTAGGCCCAGCTGTGATATTATGGTATTACATGCTGGATGCTGTGGCTTGGCAGGCAGAGGCCATGTAGGAGGCCCAGACATTCCCTGAAAAGCTCGGCATGGTAAAGTGCCTACAGTCCCAGCTACTTCGGTGGCTGAGGCAGGCGGATCACAGGCTTGAGGCCAGGTGGACAGCACTGTAAGACCCTGTCTGAAAGAGCTGGGCATAGTGGGCATAGTGATGTACAACTTTGGTCCCAGCTACTGGGGGGATGTATCAAGACCCTAAACACACACACACATACACATACATACACACGCAAATATACTGAGTTGTTGGAAAAGTCATGATGCATTTTTGCATAGAAAAACATTGAAAAAGCATGTCATGACTTTTGCAACAATCCAATATATGTACATACATGTGTACATAAAAAATAAACTTTATAAGTACCAACCTGAAAAGATGTCCCTTATACATTAACTCAAAACAGCAAATTGTACACCAATGTGTACCAACTGACTCCACTTCAGTTTAAGTATCTGTGCATGAATGTATGTACATGCACTCAAAGTTATGTCTGTATAGAGAGGGGAAAGCCAGGACAGGTATGCACCAGATTGCTAACGATGCTTAATCTCCGGGACTGAAACAGAGGAGGGGGCCAGTCCATGGCCTGGTGGTTACGTGAACTGGATCCCACATGGTAGACCACGTGGTTCAAGTCCCAGACCAAGCTGCTTGAAAAACACACCAGGCGTGTGTATACGTGTGCCCAAAATCCCAAAAGGAGGGAGAAATGAAGAAGGGACTGCAGCATGACCGTGTCCCATGAGGGATATTCTCACTTTCTCTTTTTCCTTCTCCTCTTTCTCTTTGTCTCTCTCTGGCAAAAACATCCACCCTCTGGCAAATTTAAAAAATAAAAATAGAGAAGTGGATTTTGCTTTTTTCTTAATTCTTTAAGATGTGGAATTATGGGCAGATTTTACTTTTTTTTTTTTTTTTTTGAGAGGTTTTTCGCTATAGGGCGTGTGCACTCGCCAGACAGAAAGAGACATAGAGAAAGAAAGCGAGAAATCACCCCCCAGGGGGGATGGTCACGCCGCAATTCCTTCTCCTCCATTCTCCTCTCAGGATCTTGGGCACATACGCACACGCGCCCGGCATGAATTTTAAGCCACCGGGTCCAGGACGTGAACCACGGTCAACTACATGGGAGTCCAGCGACATAGCCATTACGCTAACTGCTGGTTCCCCGGCAGATTTTACTTTTTGAAACGTGATTAAATATTTTTCATATAATAAAATAAGTCTTGGGATAATATTAAAATCAGTAGGTGATTTACAGCTTTAAAACTTAACAGTGCAGCAAGGTCTAACACTGCAAAATGGCAACTTGCTTCCTGGAACTAACATACAAAGTTGGTCACTCTGGCGTCCGTATCATACACAATGCTTTCTGCAGTCCTTAACCAGATACTAGTGATTATGACTGACAAAGGGACAAGTTCAGAGTGCACCCATTCTGAATAGGGCTCATGAGCCATAGGGTGCTTAGGAGAGAAAACCAACAGGGTGCCTGCATACCCCATGGCCAATGGGAGAGGTTTTCTTTTTATTTATTTATTTGTTCATTCTTTTTTGTTTTGGGGGGTTTTTTTGAGAGTTTTTTTGCTATAGGGCTCATGTGCTCGCCAGAGAGACAGAAAGCGAGAAATCACCCCCCAGGGGGAATGGCCATGTCTCAGTCTCTTCTCCTCCATTCTCCTCCTGGGATCTTGGGCATGCACACATACACACCCGGTGTGAATTTAAGCCAACAGGTCCAGGACTCGAACCACGGTCGACTACATGGGAGTCCAATAACATAGCCATTACCAACGGCTGGTTCCCTGGGAGTTTTCAAAAAAAAACAATTCTTTTGTGTCATTAAGCCACTTACCTCAATTAAGAAATGACTGGGCCAGCTTGTCAGTGTGGTGGTGAAGGTGACTGGATCCCACATGGCTGACTGCACAGTTTGAAAGCTTGAGAAACATGCCAGGCACATGCACATATACATGTGTGCCCAAGGATCCCAAGAGGAGGGAGAGATGGAGGGGGACTTTGGCATGACCATTCCCCATGGGGGTTGCTTTCTCACTTTCCCTCTGTCTCCCTATAGTGAGCTTGAATACCCTGTGGTAAGATTTAAAAAAAAAAAACTTCATAGAAGGGACCTGCCATGTCTTTTTAGTTAGAGATTTTTGCTATAAAGCACATGCACTTGCAGGATAAACAGAAGGCAAGAAATCACCCCCCGGGGAGATGGCTATGCCCAAATCCCTTCTCCTCTGTTCTCTTCCCAGGATTTTAGGAATGCACACACACACACCAGGTGAGAGTTTCAAGCCACCAAGTCTGGGACTCAAACCACAGTAGACCACATGGGAGTCCAGTGCCTTTAACCACTATGCTACCCACTGACCCCAGGAACCCCCATTCTTAATAATCTACTCAATATCAATAATTATTCATCAAAATCATCAATAATTTTGTCAGTAGTTATTTACAAAGTTATATTATATAAATCTTGCTCAATTAGTTCTAGATTATTCTTTACCTTTCCTTCAATAATCCGGTAAACTAAAGAGTTCATGTCTTTTGCATTGAAGGCATGCTTTAGAGTGGCCATTTCATAGACGCAGCATCCCAGAGCCCAAACATCAGACTAGAAAAGAAAAATAGCAAACGGTTAAATGTTGGAACATGAGTTTCATACCCTTTATTAAAAATAAATGAATAAGGGAACCAGCAGTTAGAGTAATGGCTATGTTGCTGGACTCCCATGTAGTCGACCGCAGTTCACATCCCAGACCTGGTGGCTTAAAACTCACGCCGGGTGCGTGTGCATGCGTGCCCAAGATCCCAAGAGGAGAATGGAGGAGAAGGGATTGCAGTGTGACCATCCCCCTGGGGGGTGATTTCTCGCTTTCTGTATCTATGTCTCTGTCTGTCTGGCGAGCGCATGCACCCTATAGCGAAAACCTCTCCAAAAAAAAAAAAGAATGTTTAATAAATAAATAAATAAGTAAAAGATATCTTTCTCAAACCAATTTACATATCGTTTTTCTGAGTTAACTGTTCTGATGGATTCTAAAATTACAAACACTCTCCCAGAGACAGTTGAGCCAGTAAGCAAATCTACCTTATAGTTGTAGGGCTTATTTGAGAACAACTCAGGGCTCATGTAGTAGGGTGTGCCAATGAGGGTGCTGGCCATGTCACAGTGGTTTTCTAACACTCGGGCAATGCCCAGGTCACCCACTTTGATGATGTTTGTTCTTGTTAGGAAGACATTCTGAGTTTTCAGATCTCGATGAAGGATGTGTTTCTCATGTAAATACTGAGGAGAGAAAGGAAATTTCACTATGTATAAATACAAACCTACTTATATATTTGTTTATTCTTGGCTCTTTATATGCCATCAGCAATGCCGTGACTTAAAAAGCCTTAGTTATCTACCTAATAAAACATGATTATTTTATAATCTATAAATAAGAGATCTAATTTATGACTTTCAAAGCAAATTAAGTTCCATGCATTAATCTGCCCTAAACCAAAACTGTTCCCTTGTGCCTTGACAATTACACAATTTTGACATTACATGGATCCTTTTAAAAAATATGTTTACAGGGGACCAGCAGATGGTGCAATGGTTACATCACTAGACTCCCACGTAGTCAACTTGGTTTGAGTCCTGGACCCGACAGCTTAAAAACTCAAGTCAGGCACGTGTGTGTGTGTGTGTGTGTGTGCCCAAAATCCCAAGAAGAGAATGGAGGAGAAGGAATTGTGATCATCCCCCCTGGGAGGTGATTTCTCATTTTCTGTCTCTTTCTCTCTCTCTAGCAAGCACATGCACCCTATAGCAAAAATCTCTTAAAAAAATAAAAAATAATGTTTACAAACTCCTGGTAAAAGTAGGACAACTTATATTAAGCCAGATTCCTACTTCTCTCAGACCCATGAAATCCTCAGCTAAATAATATTTTCAAATGTAGCAAGATCATTTTTATTTAAAGAGAGCATCTTATAATAGCTAAATAAAATTTTCAGATGTAACAAGATCATTTTTTTAAAGAGTTTTTCTTTTTTTTTTTTTAAGAATTATTTTATTAGGACTAGCAATTGGCATAAGGACTATGTCACTGGACTCCCATGTACTTAACCACAGTTTGAGTCCCAGGCCTGGTAGCTTAAACTCACGCCAGGCACGTGTGCATGTGTGCCCAAGATCCCGAGAGGAGAATGGAGGAGAAGGGATTGGTGTGGCCATCCCCCAGGGGGTGATTTCTGGCTTTCTGTCTCTCTCTGTCTTTCTGGAGAGCACATGCACCCTATAGCAAAAACCTCTTAAAAAATTTTTTTAAAAAAGAGCAAAAAAATTATTATTTTATTTAACTTTTTTTTTTTTAATTTGACCAGAGAAGGGCAGAATGAGTGAGTGAATGAGTGAGAGAAAGAGAGATAGCAAGAAAACAAGCTACCAGGTCCAGGACTCAAACCATAGTTGGCAAAGTGGGAGTCCAGTGCCTTTAACCACCATGCTACCTGCCGGCCCCAAAGATAATTTTTATTTAGAGAAAACATCGTATAACTTAAGCATCAAGGTCAATTGAATCTACACATGTCTGCCCAGTTTTAAAGTGGCATTTCATAAACAATCTTATTTTTGAGTATGTATATATTGAAATACAAACTTGTTTTACATTTCTACCTCCTCAGAGTAACAGCCCAAATGCCTACAGTTTAGGGATATCAGTTAGCCTAGTAAGTCACCTTTCAGCATGACACAGCTGACCAGTCAATAACAAACATGGTTACTCTTTGCCAAGTCAGGGCCCTCGAAACTGCCTTTGCTATAAATACTAAATAAAGAATTGGCTTGCCCTGCAATTAGACACAAAATCTGCATCTACTTTAATGTAGATATCACTTGCTTGTAAAAATTTCAATGCTACAGCAAGGACTGGGTCCACTTCATTTTTTTCTATTTTCTTTTTTTAAAGAGAGATTTTTGCTACAGGACATGTGTACTCACTGAGGACAAAGAAAGATAAAGTGAGAAATCACCCCCCAGGAGGGATGCCATACTACAATCTCTTCTCCTCCATTCTCCTCTTGGGATTTTAGGCACACAGGAACAAGCACCTAGCAGGAGTTTCAAGCTGCCGGGTCCGGGACTCAAACCACAGTTGACCATGTGGGAGTCCAACACCTTAATCACTATGCCACCTGCTGGCCCCATAAATAGGTTTTCTAAAAAATCACTTTTTTTTCATGTAAGCATTTGGGAAAATTATTTCCTGAAATTTACCACCTTCCCGACAGCTTGGAGCAAGTGGAATGTTGAGTCCAGACAGTACCTGCAACGCCATGGCGATCTGTACAAACCACTCTACCACCTGACTCTCAGGCAGAAGCTGCCCTTTCCGTTCCTTGAGCTTTCGGTACAGGTCACCTCCTTCACAGAAGCCCATGACGATGTAGAGTAGGCCATCTCCTCCCTCCCATGACTCCTTGTAGGTGACAATGTTGGGGTGCTTCAGCTGAGACAAGAGCTGAGCTTCCTGTTCAGCAGCTCGTCGCTCTCGGTTGGAGGCATTTCGGAGGTTCAGTTTTTTGATGACATACTACAAAGAAAACAAGTATTTTCACAGTGTGCAAATAAACATATAGTTTTGTAGGTTCAGAAGTAAATCAGGGCTCTCATGAAAGCCCTCAAAGTCAATGTTCTAGGACCTGTCAAATAACCTATTCATTTTGTTTTTCACAAAGCACAAAACTGGGTAAAATATTAATATTTGCTATTACTAATGATACTTTTTTACAGGTTGTACTTATATCAGTGTAGGTTTTAAAAAATAATCCTTTCTTGGGACCAGCAGGTGGCGTGGTGGTTAAGGCGCTGGACACTCCCACATGGCCGACCAGGATTCAAGTCCTAGACCTGGTGGCTTGCTTTCTCACTTCTTCTCTCTCTCACTCTCACCTCTGTCTCTCTCTGGTCAAATTAAAAAAATAAATAAATGAATGAATAAATAAAATTGAAATAAATAAATAATATATTTAAAAATAATAATAGTAATCCTTTCCATCTGCATTTTACAATTTGACTAGTAGTTTAAAAATGAGTCCAAGATAACACACCACTGGATCAATCATAAAATCTTTTTCTGATAGTTTTTAACTTCTAAGTTCTACCTTACAAAGGTGCATAGAATATGTCTTGAACATGCTCCTCTCAATGCTCTATTAGAAGATGCACATTCAAGACATATTTTATGCACCTACATTACATTACACACTCAATGGGATCCATGGCCCAAGATCGTTAAAAATCATGATCCTCAACATACAAAATTATTCCCACTTTTGAAAAATCAGTATCCTCTAATACCTCGTACCCTGCCCTCAACTGATTAAAAGACGATACAATTCAACAAACACAAACGTAAATGTGCTCTGTAAAATATATGCTACTATTCAAATCGGAGGGGCTATTATTATTATAGTTAGTCTCCTGCTACAGTTCGAACAGGTCCCTCTAAAATTCACATGCTGAAATGTGGTGTGATGGTATTAAGAGAGTGGAAACTGAATGTGACTACGGGATTAAGAGGCGGAACTTTGGGAAGTGATGAGGATTGGACAGAGTCATCAGGGGAAAGCCTCAACACTAGTGGGTTTATAAGGCGAGGGAATGAATGACCAGAGCAGAAACACATGACAAAGACACAAACTCTTGCCCTCTCACCAGATAATGCCATGTGCTGCCCTGGGACTCTGTGGAGAGTCTCTACCAACAAGAAGACCTTTATCAGAAGTGGCCTCTTAAGTTCATACTTCCAAAACCATGAGCTAAATCAGCCTATATCCTATATAAATTACCCAAACTGTGGTATAAGTCAGCGACAGAGAATGGACTAAATTATCTCTAAGCCTCAGCTTAGAAATCCCATGACCTCCCAATGTCTACTGAATAAAACCTCTATCTGAGCCTGTGTTCCCAGCACAGTGACCAACACTTGGAGCCAGGAAAACCAGGGGAGGGACCTCTCTCAGCTGGCCCGGCAGGGTCTAGTCATCCTCGTGCTAACTACTGCCTCCTTTCAATTCCAAAACTGCCCCAGTCTGTACATTACATGGTCACCATTGATGAACCATATTGAAGAACCAGTTTACTATCCTGAGGGTGATGGGATAAAGCGGCTTAGGCAAACCAGCACTGAGCGCATCAGATTTAAATCCTAGAACCATCACTGAGACTGCGATGGAGCGATGAACTGGAGAAGAGCAAAGTCGGCGGTAAAGCCAGCTGGGAGGCCCTGGCCATAGTTCCCTGGAGATCACGGAGTCCTGGACCACAGAGGTACCGGTGGAGAGGGAAAGGAGGCCCGGAGGCTTAGTGACAGATGAATGTAATCAATGTCTGGGCGTGTTAAAAGACTTCCAGGTGTCCAGCTTGGATTTGCGCAAATGGCTAGCTGGCGGAGCTACACACCGAAATGCGGCCGTGAGAAAAGGTGTACAGGAAAACGAGTTGAGTTTTAAGTGGCTCCTGCAGTTTGCAGTAGAAACGTTTGCAGCCCTTCATTCAAGGAGTAATGCTTGCCAGGCGCCGTTAGGTCCCGGGGACGCGTGACCCTGCTCTTAAGGAATGGTGGGCGGTGGGGGAGCGGTAGCTCAGGTACACCAAGGAATACCACGAAGGAGGAGCGGAGGGAATCTGGGACACCTGGCGCGACGTCTTGGGGGCTGGGATTTCGCTCACTTGCGGCCATCCGAGACCAGCCCTCCGGCCACCGCGGGCCTACTCCGGAGGCTGGCGCCCTCGGCGCACCGCGGCCCGCCCCTGCCCCTCGCCGGCCCAGTTCCGCCGACCTGCCTGCCGTCCCGCCGGTGCTTCACGAGCGTCACCTCCCCGTAGCTGCCCTTGCCCACGACACGCAGGTAGCAGTAGGCGGCCAGGGGCATGTTCCCGGAGCCGGCCCACAGTCGCGATTACGGCGACAGCGGGCCCTGGCGGGAGGCCCCGCTCTAGCCCGAGCGGCCGCGGCAGAGGGGGGGTTCGACGGCCCCGGAGGACCAACCATAGAGTCGAGACGCCAGGCGGCCAAAGCGACTCTGCCAGTCCCTGAGCGCTTATTTTCCGCTTGATTTCCATCAGTGAGATGTGGGCCACGGGGAGGTCGCAGAAGGCTCCGCTTGCGTACCCTGCCTTGTTCTCAGCGCTTTCCAAATAACGTTCATGTATTTTTTAAAAATGAATTATTTATTTAATTGTATTTATTATTATTATTCAATTTTGACTAGAGAGAAACAAAGAGGGAGAGAAAGAGCAAGCTGCCAGCCCGGACTCGAACCACGGGAAAACACGTGGGAGTCCAGCGCCTTAACTACCACGGCACCTGCTGGCCCCAGTGTTTATACGTTCTATAACTAATTATTGACCGCCTATATACCAAGCTGAGCAAGTCCTGGCCCTCCTGGAGCTTACAGCTAATGAGGGGTGACAGACTCCTGACCATCAGTAACACTTGGATGCTGCTTTATCACGTCTGATCATCCAAGCAACCAGAAATCCATTTTCTTTTTGATACACTTGAAAGTAAATGGAAGCTGTCAGTGCCCTTTTCCCCTAAAAGTTTTAACCTGATTGGTGAGAACTACAAAGAACTCTCAGTATATAGCAGACTGTCTAAACCCCTCACTAAGAGACTTGACCAAATTAGTTGCCTTTTAACACCTTAAGGCCCCACCCCCAGGAGGATCCAGGACCCCTTTAAAGTGCTTACCTGAGAGAACTCAGGACGACCAAAATATTTAGTTTTTTCTAGCTAATACCTCCATTTCCTAGAGCATTTACTAACAGAAGCTTACCATTACAAAGTATTCCTCTGACCTTACGAGATACATAGTCGTCCCTCAATATCCTGGGGGATTGGTTTCAGGACACCCCACTACCCCCACCATTACCAAAATCTTCAAATGCTCAAGTATCTTACATAAAATGGGATCGCATTTACATATGTCTTACATGCTTCCTCCTGCACGCTTGAATTCATCTCTATTGCCTATAAGTAATTTCAGCATCCGGAATAAGTGAAAAGGAAACTACATAAACATCTTCAGCATGTCTCTTTGGGGGGGGGGGCTTTCCCCTCATAACAATTAGTGTCACCTGTCAACATTGTGGTTGACTGAATTCAAAGATTCAAAACTCACAGACATGACCCCACAAATAGGGAGGGCTGACTGCATATGTAAGAGGACTATGGAGGAATCTTCAAGCAGTTCATAAAAAGTGCATATTTTGAAAAAAGTATGCATGAATTTCAATTTTTTTACATCCAAATGAGCTTGTACTATAATTCCAGTTTTCCACGATTTTAAAATTTTCTGGAAGGCATATGTGCTTGCTATAAAGAGAAGGAAAGCCAGAAAGCAGCCCTTATTAGGGATAGTCCATGCTACAATCCCTTCTCCAACTCTCTGTCCTTTTGGGATTTGGGGCATGCATGTATGCATACACACCTGGAGTGTTTTTCTTTCTCTTTCTTTTAAAAAAAATTATTTATTATTCTTATTATTTTAAATTGTTATAGGGCACATGTGCTCACCAGAGAGAGAGACACACAGAGAGAGGGAAAGTGAGAAAGCAAGCTTCAGGTCCAGGACTCAAACCACAGTCAGCCATGTGGAATCCAGCTTCTCAACCACACACCACCTGCTGGTTCCCTGGCATCAATTTCAAGCCACTGTGTCTAGGACTCAAACAGCACAACCACGTGGGATCTAGCTGCCTAGCCACCATGCCAATGGCTGGTCCTCCACACACTTTTTTGAAATCCCCTTATATGTATCTCCTTCAACCTAGGAGTGTCTTTCTTGAGGACTCGACAGCCATTTTGTTGAAATGTTATCATCAGGGAGAGTAGGGCCCCTGTCTCCCTGCTCTACACGGGAGGATAGAATCCTAACTTCTACGATTGCCATGTGGCAGACACACTAAAGACATTTCCACTGACAACCCTTTGTCATTTTTCACTTACTTGACTCTAAGTGAGCCTCCTGCTTGCTACCATCCCCTACCCCCTTACTCTTCCTTTGTCTTTAAAGAATTATTTAATTCAGTTTTATTCATTGTCATTGTTTTATTTTATTTATTTATTTATTTGAAGTTGACCAGAGAGACAAAGAGAGAAGGAAAGTGAGAAAGCAAGCTGACAGGTCCAGGACTCGAACTGTAGTAAGCCACATGCAAGTCCAACTGCCTTAACCACCATGCTACCTGCCAGCCCCTCATTCTTCTTTTCAAATGCCCAGTCACTTCTGCACAAATTGGAATGAAACTCAGCTTTCCCCCTACTGTCAGTATTTACTGAATAAAGCCTGTTTTCACTTTTTTACTAAAGCCTGACTTTGTTTATTTTCAGCAGTATCATTAACTAAAGTGCAATATTTATTGGTGGTTCTTTTTGTTTGGTTTTCTCACGGAGACAAAATTTGCACTGAGCCAAATGTGCAAATCTTACATGTGCCATTTGGCAAAATATACACCCAAATCTCTATCAAGATATTGTCAAAGGTAAATAAATGGTGAACACTAGCCTAAAATATGAAAGGTATTATGTGGGGGTAAAACTTAGGGTTATGGTCCTAGACACACGTGGACATCATGAAGGACTCCAGGGTACGCCAAGAATGAAGGCAGGCTTGGGGGTTGATTAGGAAAGAGAAGGCTATGAAAAGTGTTTTGAAAGAGAGTTTGCTGGCACTGGTGGTTCTTTGTAGCAGCGAGCCAGTTTCAATTGGCCGACAACCGAAGCAATAGCTACTTAGTATACCTGGACTTAATGTCACGCAGGCAGGTGCATCCTCAGTTGCTGAGCGGAGAAAGTCTTAAAATCATAATAAGCCATTTCATGGAATTGACCCTGAAAGGTCATCCTGGGAACAGTTATTTGGGGGCCAGCAAGTGATGTGGTGGTTAAGGCACTGGACTCCCATGTGGCTGACCATGGTTCAAGTTCCAGACCTGACAGCTTGAAAATCATGCAAAAACCTAAACAAAACAAGACAAAAAAAGTTGTTTGAGTTTCCAGCTCGACTCCATTTCAGCTGACAAGAATGATCTCATTTGCGTGTTCAATTTCCACATTACAGACCCAGAATGAGGAGGGATTAGAACTCTTGTGTATCCCTGTTGGAATCTGAAATTCACAGTTTGGGAATACGCATCTCACAGCTCATTTTGAAAAGCAGTTCAGTGGTTCCTCAAACAATTAAACATAAATTCCCATATTTTTCTCCAATTTCACTTCTGGGTATATCTCTGAAAGAATGGAAAGTAGGGATCAAATAGTTGTTTGCACCCCCCATGTTCATAGCAACACTAGTCAGGGCAGCCGAAAGGTGGACGCAGCCCATGTGCCCGTTGTTGAATGAATGGATGAGCAACTCGTGGAATATACACACAATGAAATAGGAGTCAGCCTTCAAAAGGAAAGAGATCAGACGTAAGCTACGGTGTGGATGAACCTCGAGGGCGTCACGCTAAGTGAAATGACGTCAGAAAAGGACAGTGTCCGATTTCACTTATGTGAGGTGTCTACAGTAGACGAATTCGTAAAGACAACGTAGGATGCTGCTTGCCAGTGCTCAAGGAGAGAAGGGAATTGGGAGTTTCTGTTGCAGAGGGCAAGATGGATTGGGGCCATCTATGGCCCGGCGGTTAAGGTGGTTGGATCCCATGTAGCCAACCGTGCGGTTCTAGACCTGGCAAGAGAAACATGTACGGAGCGTGCCCATGTGAGCTCAGAATCCCAAAAGGAAGACGATGGAAGAGGTGTTTTCTCCACAGGGGGTGTTTTCTCCCCCCGCCCCAACCCCTGCCTGCCCCTCTGTCCCTGTGCCAAGCACACACACTCCCTGGCTAAATTTAAAAAGAAATCAAGGGAGATGGATGGTGGTGATGATTGCATGGCAATATGAATGTACTTTATGCCACTAAACTGTTTACATAAAAATGGTTAAGGGGGGACCAGCAGAGGGCGTTTGGTTCTGTCGTGGTTCAAGTCTCGGACCTGCCGGTTTGAAATTCATGCCAGACCTGTGCGCATGCACGTGCCGAGAATCCCGAGAGGAGAATGGAGGAGAGGGGATTGCAGGGTGGCCCATCTTCCCGGGGGTGATTTCTTGCTTTCTTTCTCTCTGGTGAGCACACATACCGTATAGCAAAAATCTCTCTCTAAAAAAAAAAAGGTTAAGTGGTGGCCCAGCCATGGTGACACAAGCAGGAAGACACCATGGCACAGGGCTAGGACCGCATGGGAAGCTTGGGTTTGAATGGTTTCCACCCAGATGGCTGGCCACCCGCAGACCCCTGCACCAGCTAGTCCCAAACCACTTCCAAGCCTCCTTCCCTACCCTCTGATTCCCCAAGTACACTTTGCATGCCCCCATCTTCCCCCTCCTCCACCCCTGAACCTCCTCCAGGACCGTTCTATCCCTATGGGAGAGGAGCTCCTCCTAATGTTCCTCTCCACTTCCGCCCACTTCCGCCCACTCCCTGGGCTTCCCTGGCCTTCTTTTGCCTGCCTGCCTTCCTTTCCCCAAGGCACCAGCTCAGTGAAGGCAGCAAGGCACTCGAGCATCGGCATGGTGGTACCCGGTGCCTGGCATGGTGCCCAACATCACAGGGCTTGGTCCGTGCTAGTGCCAGGAATAAACAGAACCTCAAATGCACAGTTTCATCTCGGTCCATCTCATCTTCCACAAAGGCCAGAAACAGGCCGGAAGGTCATCCTGGCCTGAGGACAGTAAACCCTTTCCCAGAAACCATTCTGTGTCAAGGTCCAAGACAAACAAACAGACCAGTGAGGCCTCTAGGGCCCCTCTTCTCACTGGGGGTCATGGCAGCCTGCATGTCCCATCCCAGGACACAGACAGGACTGTCCAGAGGTCCTGTCTGCCCAGTGTGCTGTGGCTTATGGAGGACAGGGAGCAATTGAGCGTAAAAACTAAGAAACTGCATGTATGGCAGGGTGTCTGGGGACTCCAGTCTCTGCAATCTCTGTCTTTGCTTCTCCTAATGCCAAGAGTGTTTCTGTTGCTACAGAGTGACTCAGCGGCCTGAGTTCAAAGCCCTGTTCTGCTGTGGGAGGGACCAGCGTCATCATGAGAGAACTAGACACTGAAAGGCTGAAGAGCAACACGTGACACATAATCAGTCCTAGCTCCCCTTTATCTGCCAGGTGCCCCTGCCCGGGTGGAAGGGGATGAGGCGTACTTCCGTTGTCTCCAGATCTGGGTAGGAGGGCCCTGAGGGATGCCAATGGTCTAAAGCATGGGCCACCCATGCGCCTCCCCCTGGCTGCACAGCCTGCCCTGACAGAATGATGGCTAGGGTTGGCACTGTGAGTGCCCTGGGCATGGGAAGCTGTCACAATACTCTTAAAAAAAAAAAAAAAAGTATCTATTTTTGGGGCTGTCAGATGGCATGGTCGTTAGGGTGCTGGACTCCCACACGGTTGACCACGGTTCAAGTCTTGGACCTGGTAGTTTGCTTTCTTACTTTCACTCTCTCTCTCTGGTCTAATAAATCAACTAATTAATTCTAAAATAAATAAATAAAGATGTATCTACTTTTTCCATGAGTGCGAGAGAGGACAGACACCCTCACAGGGTCTTCGTATTGTCCCTCGCACCCACAGGCCCAGCTGGTCTGGATGGGGAGCATGAGCGTGCCCAGCGCGCTCAGGAAGGTCTCAGGATAACACCCAGGACCTTCCCCATGTGCGTCTGGTTGTGTTACTGCCTCTCCACTGCCCGGCCCTGCCACAGCCCTTTCTAAGCCACCCGTACCTGCCTCCCTTGGACAAAGCAGACTGAAAAGGTTGTTGATGCTGAGGGAATTTTGAAAGTAAAGCCTGATGCAGTTTAGCGATCCATTTTCACCTGTGGCTTCCTGCCACGTGTCACCATATCACTGCCGCTGCCCCGAGCCAGACCCAGGGCAAGATGAGCCATCGGGGTGGCAGGGGTTGGGGGGGGCAATCCACACTGGCTGGGTGCGGTTCTATGCAGCGGGGAGCTGTTGGGCGTCTGGTCAGGACTTACACCATCCTGGGCTGAGAACCTCCAGGAGAGGCTGGAAAGCTCTCACTGCCGGTTTTGATTCTCCAAACCGTAATAACTGCCTTCGCCCTGTCTAATGTTTAAACCATGTTTATCCGGCACTGTATTGATCAGTGGTCTGAGTGAGGGGACAGGGAAGCAGAGCCCTGAGACGATGGACGGTGCCATGGGGCTTCAAGCGCTGCTGTGCATGTACCTGGTGTCCTTCCTCACCCCGCTGGCCGTGCCAGCCCTGGGGTCAGCCACTGGCAAGTCCAGGACCAGCGAGGTATGTGGCAAAGCCCTCAGGGCAGAGACAGGCAGCTGAGCCTAGAGGGAGATGGGGAGGGACACAAGACCCCCCACTCCTGGGCCGGGTCTCCCACCAGCCTAAGCCACCTCTGACTTCCCAGAAGGCACAGCTGTGTCCCCCTCCCACTCCTGGGCAGGCAGGCTTGGTCCCCTGAGCACCCGAGCCCACACTCGCCCTGGCTTTGTTTTGCAGAAGCGGCAGACTGTGGACACAGTGAGTGCACGTCTCGCCCCACCTGGGGGTCTGTCCAGGCTGTTCTCCCCACCCCTCTGTCAGTGCCTCAAGCAGGGGACACTCAGGTCTCCTGGAAATGGGGGCTTACCCTCACCTTGCCTCGTGTCCCACAGTCCAGCCTCAGGTAGAGAGAAGGGGTCTTCCCGGGAGGTCTAGCCTACTCTTCTAACATCGGAGCACTTCTCGTAGGAGCGGGGTGCTGAGCCCCAGCGCCACACAGGGGCCTCTCACTGCTCAGACTTCATCCCAGACCACAGGTCCCTTGTGTCTTCCTTCAGACCGTGGACGGCGTGTTCATCCAGAGTTTGAAAGTCAACTGCAAAGTCACCTCTCGCTTTGCTCACTATGTCATCACCAGCCAAATGGTGAACACTGCTAACGAAGCCAGGGAAGTGGCCTTCGACGTGGAAATCCCCAAGACGGCCTTCATCAGTGACTTCGCCATGTGCGAACCCCGCCTGAGTCCCACACCCTGCCCGGAGCTGTCCACTCTCCAGCCCCAGCCTAAGACCACGGCTCAGAGAGGCCCTTCCCCAAAGGGTCCCAGGCCAGCCCTAGCTCTCAGGGAAGAAGAAGCCCTTTGGGTCTGTTCCCAGCTCCCACCTGGGAGAGCAGGCTGAGACCTCTGACAGCACGTTTTCAGCCCAGGGCACAAGGAGCAAAGGCTAGGACCCATGGCTTCCTACTGGCCCCACTTCCCGTGGGCCCCCGAGACACCCTCCCACAAGGGCTCACATGGACAGGGCCTCCCTGAGGTCCACGCACCTCCGATATGAAGGACCTGAGTGGTCAAGGAGGGTACGCTGAGGACCCCCTTCCTTCCCTGCAGCACGGCAGATAAAAACGCATTTGTCGGGGACATAAAGGACAAAGTGACGGCCTGGAAGCAGTACCGGAAAGCTGCCATCTCAGGGGAGAACGCTGGCCTTGTCAGGTATGCTCCGGGCCCTGCTGGCCTAGTCTCTGGGACTGTCCTCCGGCCAGGACAGATCTGAGGGCTGCAGGGTGGCCTTGAGTAGGGGACCAGAATGATGGACGAGTGAGCAAACTGCCCAGATCCAGACGCCAGAGCACTGGCCAAGGCTGTGCAGTTGCTCTTCCCCAGGATCTGACTCAGGGATAGATGGGGCTCCCACTCCTTGGGCCCTGACCAGCCAGTCAAGACAAGGAAAAAGGGTCAAGGTACCTAGGTGTGGCACTAAAGTCAGAGAAACTGCCCCTCAAGGCCATGCAGATGACAAGGAGCCATATGTAACTTACCGTTTGTCTGCCTGTGGTCGCCTGGTGGTGCGTGCAGGGCCTCGGGGAGGAACATGGAGCAGTTCACCATCCAAATGACCATCAACCCACAGAGCAAGGTCACGTTTCAGCTGACCTACGAGGAGGTGCTGAAGCGAAAGCTCATGGAGTACGAAATTGTCATTAAAGTCAAGCCCAAGCAGCTGGTGCATCATTTCGAGGTAGATGACAGGTCCTGGGCCAGGACTCCTGGCTCTCGCTCTCACTCTCTCTCTTCCCCACTCTCTGGCTCTCAGTCCAGGCTCAGTCTCCACCATGTCACCCAAGCCGGAGCACACAGGGAACGGGACTGGCCCCTCACAGTGGGCTCCCATGGGCTCTTCTTGGGCAGGGAGCTCCCCGAGCCCTCCTGCTCTTCCTAGTCTCTGAGCCTCAGTTTGCTCATCGCCCATGTGGGGCGTTGCTGTGCATCTCATGACAGCCACACGGATCACAGGTGCACTGAGTGTCCAGGTAACTCGTAAAGCATGAAGTCCTGGCAGGCTGAGGGGCTGTGACTATCGCTGACACAGAAACGGTGGCTCAGAGGAGGGTGCAGGCATCGCCCCTTCATCCAGCTAGTGTTTCTGGAGTGCCCGGGCTGTGTCAGGCTCTGTGCTGGGGGCCAGGAGAGTGGGGGCCTGCACACGGGAGGTGGCCAGGACACATTGGCCCTTAGCTGAGGCTTGGTAGTGGCCTGAACGGAAGCCTCGGTACAGAATTTGCCTCGCTGCTGCAGATCGATGTGGACATCTTTGAGCCCCAGGGGATCAGCAAGCTAGATGCCCAGGCCTCCTTCCTCCCCAAGGAACTGGCAGCCCAAACTATCAAGAAGTCCTTCTCAGGAAAAAAGGTACATGGATGGCAAAGAAGATGGGGGCTCTGCAGGGATTTCCTAGTCTGGCTTCACCCTGATGCAACGCCCCGTCTTAGCCCAGGAACTGGGCAGGGGCCACAGGCTGCCCCCGGGCGAGAGAAGCAGGTGCTCGTGGTCGGTATTCCAGGGACCTTAGCACCCCTGGTTCTCGGAGCAGCTGGGCAAAGGCTTGTACACTGAGGCAGGGAGGGCACCGGCTGTAGGGCCAGCTCACCGGCTGCGTGGTCCAGGGCAAGCTGCTGGCTTGCGTGAGCCTCAGTTTCCTCTTCGCCCGCCTCATGCCCGGGGAAAGCAGGAAAATGTGCCCCACCTAAACGGACGTCAGATGCTGCTGTGTTTTAGGACTCCAAGCTTCGGTTTTCTTGGATACCAAGTTTGGAAGGCCTGTGACCTATCCAGTGACCTGTCACTTGTCCCCTACTTGCAAGAATTCCAGAAGCCCTCTGTGTGCCCCGACCCCAGGGCCTGGAGGAATGTGCCCCACGAGTAGGTGGCCTAGTAGGTCCCCGGCTTCCTGACTCGCTCTCAGCCCAAGCCAAGGGGGAACCCTTTGGTTTCTGTATATCTTAGGTGGTGACTTGGTAGCAATTCATTGAAAAGAAATGTTTCTTACCTTTTGGGGGAATTCCTTTTATTTTTTATTTATTTAAATTGTTAAGAATTCTTTATTTAACTTTATTTGTTTTATTCATTTTTAATTTGACCAGAGAGAGAGAAAGGGAAAGGGAGAAAGTAGGCTGCTAGGTCTGGAACCATGGTCGGCCATGTGGGAGTCCAGCACCGTAACCACCATGCCACTTGCCAGCCCCGATTTTTCATTTTTTTTAAGAGAGATTTTTGCTATCAGGCATATGTGCTCACCAGAGAGACAGCAAGGCAGAAAGTGAGAAATCACCTCTCAGGGGGGATGGCCACATCACAATCCTTTGTCCATTGTCCTCTTGGGATTTTGGAGTGAGTTTTTAAGCCGCCGGGTCCAGGACTCAAACCTCAGTCGACTGCATGATAGTCCAGCACTGTAACCACTGAGCAACCTGCTGGGGGATTCCTTTTAAATAAAATACGACATCTCAGAGTTGTCAAATAGGTTTGCTTTCCTTGGGGGATCAAGGGAAGGGAATGGGTCCTTGTCTTCCTAACAATTCTTCTCAAGCTTTTTAGTTTAGTTTAGTTTTTTGGTTTTTTTTCATATCTTACTTTTTATAACAAACAATAAGTACAAATAAAAAGTCCTAGGACCAGCAGATGATGGAGTGGTTATGTCGCTGGACTCCCACATATGGCCGACCTGTGTGGCCTACCTGAGTGGCCCACTGTGTTCATTTCTGAGCCTATGCAAACATGCATGCCTTCTTTTCCTCTTCTTCTTTTTTTTTTTTTTGACAGAGTATGTGTGTGTGCTCACCAGAGAGAGACAGAGAGACAGGAAGAGAGGTAGAAGGAGAAAGCATCCCCAATTGGGCGGGGTCACGCCACAATCCCTTCTCCTCCATTTCCCCATCCTGTCAGGATTTTAGACATGCATGCACACACGTGCCCTCTGCATTTCCCAAACCACTGCAGCTGGGACTCAAACCACTCAGTTGGCCATGTAGGATCTAGCTCCTGTAACCACTAGGCTATGGGGGCTGGCCCCCTCACACACCTTCTTAGATCGTCTTAACAAACAGCCCGTCTGTGGTTCCACAAACCAGTAACATCTCGCATCCTCGACGCTTGCAGGGTCACGTGCTTTTCCACCCCACCGTGAGACAGCAGCAGTCCTGCCCCAAATGCTCAACATCGTTGCTGAACGGGGACTTCAGGGTGACCTATGATGTCAATCGTGACAAGCTCTGTGACCTCCTGGTGAGCCTGGAGCTTTGGGCCCAAGACCCAGAGGGTGGGCAAGGGATGCTCGCAAGAGAGGCGTCACTCGTTCTTGTCTGTCGCAGGTGGCCAATAACCACTTTGCCCACTTCTTCGCCCCCCAAAACCTGACAAACATGAATAAGAACGTGGTTTTCGTGATCGACATCAGCAGCTCCATGGAAGGCCAGAAAGTGAAGCAGGTAAGTTGCAGCTCTTGGAGCACACTCAGGAGACCGTCTGCAGCCCATCACACCCGAGGCCACTTTCTAGCCAGTCTGGTTGGCCATGGGTGCTTCTGGTTGGAGGCAGGGTGGAGTAACAGGAAATTGCAGCAGTGGGATCAGCCACCACTTCCTCACTGGGAGACCTTGGTCAGGTGCACTCACTCTCGTCAGTGGCAAACCTGAGAATGGTAACAGTGCTCACGGGGTCTCAGAGTTTCCCGACTGAGAAGTGCTTAGAGGAGGAACTCTGCATTACAAGCACCAGGGGTAATCTTGGCAGTCCCTGGAAAGGCATCTTGCCGCAGTGCACAGCTCCCTGCCCATAGTGCTCTGGGCACCCGAGGCCCTGTCCCTATCCCATGCAGTGAAACCATGGCTGCACAAGTCGTTTTAGAAACACAGCCTCCTGGGACCAGCAGTTGGTGTAATGGTTACATTGCTGGACTTCCACATAGTCGACCGTGGTTCAAGTCCCAGACCCGGTGGCTTAAAACTCACGCTGGGTGCATGTGCATGCGTGCTCAAGATCCTGAGAAGAGAATGGAGGAGAAAAAAAGTGAAGTGTGGCCATCCCCTCTGGAGGGTGATTTCTTGCTTTCTGTCTCTCTCTCTCTCTGTCTCCAGCGTGCGCACGTGCCCTATAGTAAAAATCTCTTTAAAAAACAGAAAGAAAGAAACACAACCTCCTGGGCTCTTCTCTCTTGGTCCCACCCCTCCCCATGCTGGGTCCCTGGCCTGGCAGGATGCTCCTCTCTTGGGGCCACCTGGCTGTCCTGCTCATTCCCTCCTGTTTGTCCACCATGGCCCTCTGCCCTGTGGGGTCTCTGAAACAGGTATCTGAAGTTCGTGGAAAATATGTCCTGGTGCCACGCTGGGCCGAGTCCTTCCACTGACTCTCCTGTCCTTGCAGACCAAGGAAGCACTCCTTAAAATCCTGGATGACATGCAGCCGGGAGACTACTTTGACCTGGTCCTCTTCGGGTCTCAAGTGCAGTCATGGAGGGGCTCCCTAGTGCAAGCATCCCAGGCCAACCTGCAAGCAGCTCGAAGCTTCGTGAAGAGCTTCTCCCTGGCAGGGTGTAAGGGGCCGGGCGTCAGGGCCACCTTGGTGTTGCCTCTGTCCTCTTGGAAGGAGGGCATACCCTGGTCTGTCTTCTTTTCTTCGCAGCCACAAACCTGAATGGAGGATTGCTCCGGGGAATTGAGATCCTGAACCGAGCTCAAGGAAGCCTCCCAGAACTCAGCAACCACGCTTCGATTCTCATCATGTTGACAGATGGGGAGCCCACGGAGGGTAAGCACCTGGAGGGCCGCCCTGGGCGGTGGGGATCTTGTGTCTAGAGGCATTCAAGCCAAAGGTGAGAGGCCCTGAGGGGACAGAAGGGCTCCAGGTAAAGTCAAGCACTGAAAACAATTCAGACCACAAGGTCTGCGAGGGTTCCAAGGCACAGCTCTGTCCTGTGAGTTGGGAAATTGGGGACATTTCTGCATGACATGCGACTGGAGAGGGCCCTGAAGAATGGGCAGGATTCCCAGGTTGAGTTTAATTAATCATCTATCCAGTGCCCACCATGTGCTGAGCATAGGGTTAGGACTGAGAAGACACACAGAAAATGAGACATGCCTCTGCTCTCAAGAATCTCAGGGTTCACCAGGGCAGGCAGACCCAGGAGCAGGGTGCCAGGGAGCCTGCAGAACCACAGCCAGGGTCTGGGAAGGCTTCCTGGAGGAGGTGACTGTTGAGCTGAATCTGGAAGGAGGAGAGGGAGACAGGAAGGGCCCACTCATAGAAGAGATAGTTTGAGCAAACAAAATAGCGTGCGTCCAGAATTGTGGGCACGTGCGAAAGGAGTGAAGCCAGAACAGAAAGGTGGGCAGGGCCTTGCAGGAGGGTTCAGAGCAGAACTGGATCTGTTCCTGGGGGATCCAAACAGAGGGCCTGTCTTGGAGGAGCCATGAGTTGCTGTCACTCACCCAAGCGAGCAGGGAGGAGGCGATGTCTGGAAATGTCCATGGGAAAGGGAGATGGTTTAGATGGGAGCCTGGAGCCGGGGAGTGTCCCCCAGAGCCCCATGGTGCCCCACATGCCTCTGGGCCAATATCCCATCACTGGCTGGCTGTGTGGCTGCAGGGGTGACCGACCGTTCCCAAATCCTCACGAACATCCGCGACGCCATCCGGGGCAGGTTCCCGCTCTACAACCTGGGCTTCGGCCACAATCTGGACTTTAACTTCCTGGAGGTCATGTCCATGGAGAACAACGGGCGGGCCCAGAGGATCTACGAGGACCATGACGCCACCCAGCAACTGCAGGTTTTCTCCAGCGCCCCTCCCATGTGCTGCCCAGCGCGCCCGTGGGGAGCACCGCCTTGATGGTCATTTGCCCGCCAGCCTAGAGAAGCAGGCAGAGCTCTGGCCTGGAGTTCAGATCAGCTGTGTGAGCTCGGGCCAGTTACTTAACCTCTCTGAGCCTCGGATTCCTTGTCTAAAGTGGGGATCCGGACACCCTGCTCTGTGGGCAGGCTCTGAGGCTGCTCCTCATCCCTGCAGGGTTTCTACAGCCAGGTAGCCAAGCCCCTGCTGGTGGATGTGGAGCTGCAGTACCCGCAGGATGCCGTGTCGGCCCTGACCCAGCACCGCCACAAGCAGTACTATGAAGGCTCGGAGATCGTAGTGGCCGGGCGCATCGCGGACCACAAGCTGGGCAGCTTCAAGGCCGACGTGCAGGCCCGCGGGGTAAATGGCAGGCTGTGGAGGGTGGAGGGAGGATGGGAAGGCTCCCGACTTACACCACTTCCCACCCTCCACCCCCAGGGGCCTCTCTTTCCCCCCAGTAGTGCCCTCACCGCACCATGCCACACACCGGCCAGGCCTGAACTCCCTCTGCACACCAGCTCTGTGTGGTGGGGCAGTGCAGGCACACGTGTGCACAGGTGTGGCGGGAGGGGCATAAGCATGGACCCTGCCTGCCAGGGCATGGACTCCAGGCCTGTGGTGATGTCACGGGTTCAGAACCCAGGTTTTGAGTGAGCAGGACCGAGCTGGGCCCTGGATCTGTCCTGACCGGCCGGATGAACTGGGGCGAGTGTCCAACTGCCTTTTCTGTACCACGCGGGCAGTGTTGGGTCTAGGACATGGGTAGTCCATCCTTGGGGGTGGCGAGAGCTGTCTTCAACAGGACGCACGGCTTCTCTCCCCATCCCGACTCAGGAGGGGCAAGAATTCAGGACCACCTGTCTGGTGGATGAGGACGAGATGAAGCGGCTGCTCCGGGAGCGCGGCCACATGCTGGAGAACCACGTGGAGCGCCTCTGGGCCTACCTCACCATCCAGGAGCTGCTGGCCAAGCGGTAAGCTCCTGCCACTCTAGGGGTGTGCACTGTCCCCCAGGTCCTCCCCACCCCGTGGTGGTGAACGGAGAAGGGCCCTCGAGATGGCCATAGTCGGGTTTACTCCCCTTCTGCTTCTCTCACCGAGTTTGTATCAACCGGTCAGGGGCTGGCAGGTGGCAAGGGGTTCAGGCACTGGATTCCCACATGGCTGACTGCAATTCGAATCCTGGACCTGGCTGTTTGCTTCCTCACTTTACCTCTCTCTCTCTCTCTCTCCTCTCTCTCTCTTTCTCTCTCCACCCCGTGGTGGTGAACGGAGAAGGGCCCTCGAGATGGCCATAGTCGGGTTTACTCCCCTTCTGCTTCTCTCACCGAGTTTGTATCAACCGGTCAGGGGCTGGCAGGTGGCAAGGGGTTCAGGCACTGGATTCCCACATGGCTGACTGCAATTCGAATCCTGGACCTGGCTGTTTGCTTCCTCACTTTACCTCTCTCTCTCTCTCTCTCTCCTCTCTCACTGTCTTTCTCTGGCGAATGCATGTACCCTATAGCAAATTAATAAAATAATAATAAATAAAAATAAAAAGCCAACCAGTCAGTTGAGAGTGTAGGTGTGGTCCCCCAGAACCTCTCCCCCTGCTGCTGCCTGCTCTGGGGCTGCTCTGTCCAGATAACCTCATGTAATCCTTGTGACGTGTGAGAGGAGTCCCCGTCATTCACAGTGAATGGCCAAGCAAACTGAGGCCTTGTGAGGTTAGGCCACCTGACCCGGATCTCTCAGCTGTTGAATTCTCAGGGTATCTCTGAGGCCCCTCAATCCTAAAGTTTCCTCTGTGGGGGGTCATTAAACCCGGAGTGCCCTGAGGACAGACACCGACCAGGGCACCGTGGGTGCTCAGTGCTCATCCGATGAATGAGTGAATGAATGAAAGAAGGAAGGGGTGGGAGAGGTCACGTCCTGGTCGCTGGGAGCTTGGAGCCGGCACCTGTCTCACTTGCAGGATGAAGGTGGAGGGGGAGGAGAAGGCCCGACTGTCATCCCAGGCGCTGCAGATGTCGCTGGCCTACCAGTTCGTGACCCCGCTGACCTCTATGACCATGAGGGGCATGACAGACGAGGACGGCCTGAAGCCCACCATCGACAAGCCTCCGGAGGGTACAGGACCAGGGGTCTGCAGTGGGCAGGCTGTGGGCCAAGGACGCACCAGGCCTTAACTCTCTTCTCTTTTCCTCCCACCCAGATTCTCTGCCCTTGGGTGAGTTTGAAAGCTCAGTGGCTGGCCAGGTGCCTCACACGCCAGCCCCCAGGCACGCAGAATCCAGTCCATCACCCTCCCTGACTCCACTGCTCCGCGGCTCCTCCTTCCCCCAGACCCCTTTCCCACCTCCCTGCAAACTCGCAGCTGTGGCCTTGAGCTTCAGGAGCCTCTGTGCTGTCTGAGGCCCGCACTGGTTTCCTCTGCCCCCTCCTGGGCACTGCGTCTGTGGGGAGGACCCTGGGGGAGGGCTAGGCCCAGGCACACCTGTGGACTGACCGTGTTCCTCTCCTGGAGGGCATCGTGTGAGACGCTGTCCTCTGTGTCCTGTCTTCTGCAGAGATGCTGGGACCCAGAAAGAGTAAGTGGCAGCCGACCTGGCACTCCCACCTCTACCTCTCTCTCTGCCACATGCCTCAGCTCTCAGGGGGCCTCAGAAAAGGGACCAGCAGCCCAGGGAGGCCACGCCCCTTCCTCCTAAGTGCCACTCGCTCTCTCAACAGCGTTCGTGCTGTCGGCCTCGCAGCCTTCTCCCACTCGCCCCAGCTCCAGCGTCTACCCGCTGCCCGACCAAGTGACTGGCGGTGAGTCCTTGGGAGGATCTGAAGGCTGGCCGTGCTTAGCCCCCACTCAGTCTGTGGCCTGGTTGGACCCTCGTGCCCGGCCAGACTCCCACTCTGACAGACTGCATGCTGTGCCCTCAGTGGACACTGATCCCCACTTCATCATCCGCGTGCCCCAGAAAGAGGAGACCCTGTGCTTCAACATCAACGAGGAGCCCGGTGTGATCCTCAGCCTGGTGCAGGACCCCGACACAGGTATGGGAGGACCTCACGCCTCTGCCAGGCCAGGCAGGGCCAGTTCTTCTGCCTGTGACATCCAGCCCTGGACAGACTGTGGCCAAGGCCTCCACTGCCCACCACCCTGTGCACCGTCCACCCTTCACCCCATCCAGCTGGGACCCTCCTGGGCTGTGACCCGTGCAGCTTAGAAGGGCTCCGTGCTGGCTTTCATGCTGTGCTATCGCAGTATTGAAATCTTTCACGATTTTTAAACAAGGGGTCCTCATTTTTACTCTATACTAGGTCCTACAAATTTTATAGCAGTCCTGGCCCACCTTCCCCACATCTCAAAGTGCACCCCTCTCAGGAGGGCCTCCTAGTTGGCCCCTTCTCTCTCCTCCCTCTGCCCTCTGCAAATCTCTGCTGAGCACCTGCTGGGGGCCAGGCTGAAGCCTGCTTTGTTAGAGTTTAGGGAAAGGAGGAGACAGGTGAGGCTGTGCATTCTCAGATGGTAATTTCAGAGCCAAGACTTGCTGGGCTGTGAGGGTGTGAGGATGTGGGGGTCTCAGTGAAGAACTGTGTCTGCAGCACCTCCCAGGAGCCTGTCCCTGAGGGACTGAGGCCAGAGAGAAGGAGCAGCCCAGAACCAGGGCTCACAGGGTCTTTACTGTGGAAAGAGGGGCAGCAGGGGGCCCAGGAGGTGTGGTGGTGTGTGCAGTGCTATCCTGAAGGCCCCACAAGAGGGAAGACCCACAAAGAGTGGGGTGTGGGAGCTTCCAGGAAGGAGGCGCAGCATGAACAAAAGCCAACACCCAGTTCCCCACCCAGACTGCTCCTTGCCCCCTGCAGGCTTCTCAGTGAATGGGCAGCTCATTGGCAGCGAGGCCAGAAGCCCTGGGCAACACGAGGGCACATACTTCGGGCGGCTGGGATTTGCAAACCCTGCGACAGGCTTCCAGCTGGAAGTTACCCCACAGAACATCACGCTGAACCCCGGCTCGGGTGGGCCAGTGTTCTCCTGGAGGGACCAGGCTGCACTGCGGCAGGATGGG